TGATTTTATTTTCCGTTCTCTGTAAAACTTACTCCGGCATACATAAATTAGCACACGGCAAGGATGAGAATGCACAAGTTTTGGTGTCCTAGGATTTATCCTATTGGAACATTCGTAAATATTAGGTGGGTGGTTTCTCACAAACATAAACAAAAAAGGTTAAGAGGTGTTAAAATGTCAGCTGGTCATCGTTTAACTCACCTTCATGCACCACCAAAGGAGCCTCATGCAGACCGATTTGTCTTGGGTAGCATCGTTGCCTATCCCGCTATTTGAATCCCTCTTTCCCAAAACAAAGGGTGCCACCGGATGCTATCAATACGACTATCAGGAGGGAGCGAAATATAAGGAAATATCTGATACCCAATTTATCAACCTCCTCCAAGAACACAATTTTACCTTGCCCAGGTATCGTTTCATGCTAAGACCATCTTAAATCTCAATAACTGGTACAAGTGGTTCAAGCACAGTTGAGTGAATTTGTCTGTAGCTTAATCAATGGATTTGCTTCTTCCCCTTAATCAATTTGAATTTTTTAACTTTTAGAAAAAAGCAGTTCTGCTTCTGATTTATCCAGTAAAAATGAATTGGATCTGCAATCTAAGAGAAGGGAGTCAGTAAAGTTAACTTAATTCCCTGTTGTAGAAGTAGTAATGCATATTTTGTAATAGTGAGCAAGCAAAAATGGAGAGCAACCTGTTTCTTAAAAGATGAGTAGGAAGCCCTCTGACATTGCCTTCATAAACATGACCACAGCGTAGAAAGTGTGGGCTCTTCTAGATGAACAACCTCAAAAATTGTTCGGAATTGAATTAAAGTGCTAGTTGTACATTTATTTTCTTTTATTTGGGATGCCGTGATTGGGACAGGTTGGCTGAGTTGAATTTTACCTGGCAGTAGATAAAATAATCGGTTGCCTCAGTATACACTTCTACAGTATTTATACCAAATGGATGTTAGTAGAAATTCTACAATAAGCATGGCTGAGCTATAAGATGCTACCAACTGTATGCAGGGTACATGTTTTTGGCTTATTGCTACAGCCCACTAAATTTTTAGGCTATCACCTATAATGAAATGGACAAAGTGCGCATAAGATTGTTAACTGCAGCAGCAACCACGTGACGGCTCATTTTATTTTACCGACACTTAGTATTTCTTCCCTCATTTTTTGCTTTCTCTTTTACATTCATAAAAGGAGATATACATCTCTTAAAATGGATGACCTACCTAAAGGCACCAGCAGAGATGGTGGTGTATCCAGGTACCAGCAAATAGAAAATAGGGACACCTTCTACAATGGTGCCACTAATGCAGAAACCACTGTGCATTTTACGAAGTCATGATTACCAGGTGCACGAACTTTAAAGTGACCACGTGATTCGCCCACAAATCGATGAGTAGTTAAGGACATTAGTAGCTCATGGCGATTTCTCTGCCACCGGAGCAGTGACTAACTCGCAACAACCAACGAGATAGGCTTTTAGTCATATTGCTGCAAAAAACGGTCTTTTTTATGCATTTCCCAGGAAACACGCTGCCTGAGCATGTAAAGTTTGCTGAAGTGTGGAGTTGAATTAATCGTTGGAAAAATTAAATAGGAGCGTACCCTTAAATCTGGCTTAGAAGTGTGACTAAGTTACTCAGAATATACAGCGGAGCTCATATTAAGGCCTTCTATTACATGCTTTAGGTGTTTTGCTATGCCCATTTCCAATTCATCGCTACCGACTAGATCAATCTTACTAATCCCCCAAAAAATGAAAGAATGGCTGCAGTGCATTGAGGTTGATGCCTAAGTGCCCAAAAGGGTGGCTCGACAGCATGTCTTGGCTACTCGATATCAAATAACCTTTCTTCCTACAACTGCAATCACCGTGAACAGACGACTGATTTTTCGAGGACCGACGTCTAAAATCAAATGTAGATAATGTATCGTCAGCTGAAGTATATGACTACTCATTCTCGATTAACTATTGCAAGTTGTGGTTGACAAAAAGAATCATAGGCACTTTCAAACATTAAAAACACTCCAAATTCTATGATTGTTGTGAGAAGACTGTTGTCAGTGTTAGTAAAAATGCGATAGTCACCATGTAGCAATAAAATGTAAGTGCTAATAATCGCTCTACGGGGTCGCAATAAGCACTGAAAATTGCGCAGGAATTAGAGAGAGTTGTGGTCCATCAATTCCACCTCTTTGTTACTAACTTTTGCGTGC